ACGGGGAGGGGGGGCACGTCGTTGACAGCTGTCTCCGGAGGGGGGGGGGCAGGGACGCTTGGGGAGGGCCCTCGGTCCCCGATGCCCCCCCCCAACATCGCCCATCTGCGGGGGGGGGGGGGGGATCATCGGCTCCTTTCCGGGCAGCCTCGTCGGCAGGCGGTCCTCCTTTTGCACCGCTTCTGTTAGGGCGGACGGGGTCGGTTTCTCCCGGAGATTCGCTCCGAGGCTTTGGTGATGGTGATGATGGGGGGGTCGGTGGGTTGGTTTCAGCACAGAAGGCCCGCCGGAGATCGACCAACCGCAGTTCTGCTGCAGCTGGTTGCGTGTTTTTATTGAAATGCGGTTTTAATTGGAAATTGGGAAGCGTGCGGGATTTTTTTTGCACTTCAGTGGGCGATTTTGCACGGCACAGGTGAGGGCTTGGGGGGGGGGCGTGCCTTCTGGGCCCCCTCCCTCTTTGCTGGGGGAAGCGGGCGACGCGCACGTCCACGGTCCTCGTTCCCAGGTAAGGGTCGCGCGTTTACAGGCAGGTGAGGGGCTGGGGGGGGGAGCACCCGCCCGTCTTTTTCTGCCCGGATTCGCAATTGCAACTTTGCAATTACCAAAAAAAAATCCTCTCTCCGCCCACCTGTCTCTTGGTGGAGGTGGGAGAGCCAATGGGAGGCCAGGGGAGGGGCGGGGGCTTCTGCCAGGCGCCAATCGCAGGAGTCCAAGTGGATCGAGAGGTGTCTCCGGCTGGCTTGGCTGCCTGGCGGGATCTCATTGGCAAAGGCAGGCCGTGATGGGTGGGGGAACTGGCAGGCCGAGAGCCAGAGAGCCCCGCTTTCCGGCACCGGGTTTTTTTCTTCCATGAAGCATAAAGCGGTACTGTCATTTTTAAAGGGGGCTGTGCCCCTGGGCATGTGCAGAGAGCTCCCCCCCTTTCTCTTCTAGGTTAGGCACATGGCAGAATGCATCAGGGGGCTTGGAAGGAACTCCCAGGTGAAAAGGTGGTTTGTTGCTTTTCCACCTGCACACCATTCATGCGTCTATGCTCCAGAGGTGACGGCGACATGCATGCATCATCTCAAAAACTGAAAATTAGCCCTGCCGCCTAGGAGGCGAGGGAACCGCGGGGGTGGCCCCTCTCAGCTCCCGGAAAGCCCCGCCCTGCATAAGGGCTCTTGGCTTCGCTTCCTGAGGTTCTGCAGGAAAGTGCTGTAGGACCTGATCCTGGTTCTCCCAAATCCTGGCAGGACACTCTAACCACTATGCTGCACTGCCTCCCCATTTTTTCTATCTTAAGTATAAGCGATTGTATTGCTGTGCTTTACGGGCCCGATGTTTTGTTAAAAATAAAACTGGAAGTTCCTGTTGTCAGTTTCAGTTTTGTTCCCGCATATTCAGAGTCGCTTTTTAATTATAGTTTGTGCTGATTGTAGTCATTGGGTTTTTTTTTTAATTATTATCACGTTTGTACTGTTTTGGAACTCGACACAGCCTTGAGCTGTCTCAGGGAGGCTGGCATATTAAACAAATAGGAGCTAAATAACATGTTTGGCATTAAAGGAAGGCGTTGATCACCTTGTAGATAAATGGCAAGGAAGATATTACAGGGAAGTCTGACGTGTCTCTGAGCGGCTGCCGAATCTTCTTCTTGCAGACTCTCAATCCAGAATTAACTGGGCGCAGGTTGGCAAGGCTGTGCATATTGTAAGCTCCTTGGAGGCAGAGGTCTTCAATCTTGTGTCTGGGTGTATTGCTCTGTAAAGTTCCATGTATGCTGGTGTCGCTCTAGTATTATCAAGTAAGCTGTGCTGAGCTGAGCTTATTTTAGCAAATGGGCCTGCACTTGGACAGTTGTGGCCCAAAGAATGAGCTGCGACCCACGAGGCCCCTCAGTCTAGTCTTGGCCATACACAGGTTAGCTTACCTTGTGAGCTGCTTTGAACACAGAATGTTCATTACACATGCAAAGTGCTATAATTTGCTCTGCTAGATTACGGGGGATAGGGCAACGGGGGCTCCAAACCAGTGTTCCCTCTAAACTGAGTTGGTGTGAGCTAGCTCACAGTTTTTTAGCCTCCGGCTCACACATTTCTGTCTTAGCTCAGGAAGGATGGCTCCGGAGCAGACTATTTTATGCAGCAAATTAGGTTTATGCCAAATCGCTCTCTCCCAACCTGAATGCCAGGAGCTCACAAAGTAGAATTCTTGCTCACAGGACTCCACAGGTTAGATGGAGCATTGTTCCAAACGCATTCCCCTCCCCAGCCACTGGGAAACCTGCCCAGTCCTTTCCCACCTGCCACCAGTTTCTGAGATGTCTCCGGGCATTGCTCACATTCTTTCAGGCCTGATTTTTTTTCAACCTTCAGAACTACGGACGGACCCTTTTTTTGAAGTGAGGTTTTTATGGAGGGCTGAATTTTGCATTGAGAGCCAGCTTCAGAGATTGCAGCTGGAGTGAGAAAATATGCAGGAAGCTTTGGTAGTAGACTGCTGGGAGTGGATTACTCTCAGTGCCCGGGAGCTTAGCAGGAGTCCATGCTGGAAGGAAGAGTTGGGTGCCTTCAGGTAGGTGCAAAGTTCCTTCTGCTCAAGGCCGAGGAATGTAGCTCCCACCTTCCTTCCTTCCTTCATGGACCTCAAAGGAGCCATCATGTTCCCATCGAGGTAGTGACCGGATCCGGCCCTGCTGAATTTCAGCAAAATAGTTGCATCCTGTACCTTCCAGCAGTGTCCTGCAAACAATGTTCCCTCTAAGCTGTGGAGTCTTGTGAGCAGAAATTCTGCTTTGTGAGCTACTGGCATTAAAGCTGTGAGCGAGCGATATGGCTCCTGCATAAATTAGTCTGCTTGGGAGCCATCCTTCCTGAGCTAAGAGAAAAATCTGTGAGCCGGAGGCTAAAAAACTGTGAGCTAGCTCACACCAACTCATCTTAGAGGGAACACTGCCTGCAACCCCCGCTTCTGGTTTTCCTAGCATTTTATCGGGTACATATCGCTGTCAGTATGCCTGGTGCTTTACGCAGTCCAAGAAAACAGATCCCTGCCCCAAGGAGCTTACAGTCTGCAGGAAGTTTGCTGCAAGGAAGACTACAGCAGAAAGGTGGAAGTGGTTCTCTGCATGTGAATTGGTACTGCGTTGTTTACCAACACCATGCGTGAAGCTGAGGGGGTCCACTTAAGCTTATCCTTCTGCCTCTTTGTGTTGTTTTTTTTAAGGTGATCCCGAAGCATAAGTTTGTCCTGGTGAAATTTGACACTCAGTACCCTTATGGAGAGAAGCAGGACGAGTTCAAAAAAGTGGCTGAAAGCTCCGGGTCCAGCAATGACCTGTTGGTGGCCGAAGTGGGAATCTCAGGTGAGAGCATCTAGCGGATGTGCACACAGGTGTTTGCAGAAGAGCCACCTGTTTCAGATGGGAAACACAAGACAATGTTGTGGCAACTGTGGTGCCCAGGCCAGGCCTGGAGATTGTACCATGGGTCACTCATGCTGTCAAGACTGACGGCAGTCATGGGGACTGGGATGAACATCAGAAGAGCCCTGTTGGATCAGACCAGTGGTCCAGCCTCCTGCCTCACACAGTGGCCAACCAGTTTCTCCGGAGGGCCAACAACAGGGCAAAGAGGCTGAGGCCTTCCCCTGAGAAGAATATGAGAAGAGCCCTGCTGGGTCAGACTAGTGGCCCATCTAGTCCCACATCCTGTCTCACACAGTGGCCAACCGGTTCCTCTGGAGGGCCAGCAACAGGGCAGAGAGGCCGAGGCCTTCCCCTGATAAGAATATCAGAAGAGCCCTGCTGGATCAGACTAGTGGCCCATCTAGTCCCACATCCCGTCTCACACAGGGGCCAACCAGTTCCTCTGGAGGGCCAACCGCAGGGCAGAGAGGCCGAGGCCTTCAACTAAGATCCCTGCTGGATCAAACCAGTAGCCCATCTAGTCCAGCATCCTGCCTTACACAGTGGCCAGCCAGTTCATCTGGAGGTCCAACGACAGTGGCTTGAGAACGAGGACTTCCCCTGATAAGAACATCAGAAGAGTCTTGCTGGATCAGACCAGTTGAGGGTCCATCTAGTTCAGCCTCCTGTCTCACACAGGGGCCAACCAGTTCCTCTGGAGGGCCAACAGCAGAGCAGAGAGGCCGAGGCCTTCCCCTGATAAGAATATCAGAAGAGCCCTGCTGGAGCAGACCAGTGAGGGTCCATCTAGTCCAGCATCCCGTCTCACACAGGGGCCAGCCAGTTCCTCTGGAGGGCCAACAGCAGAGCAGAGAGGCCGAGGCCTTCCCCTGAGAAGAACATCAGAAGAGTCTTGCTGGATCAGACCAGTTGAGGGTCCATCTAGTTCAGCCTCCTGTCTCACACAGGGGCCAACCAGTTCCTCTGAAGGGCCAACAACAGGGCATAGAGGCTGAGGCCTTCCCCTGATGTTGCCTCGTACCACTGGGTTTCAGAGGGTTAGTGCCTCTGAACATGGGAATTCCCCTCAGTCGCCATGGCTAGTAGTCACTGATAGACTTATCTTCCATGGAAAAAGCTCTTCATTCCCGTGACCATCGCCGCATCCTCCAGCAGCAAATTCCCCATTTTAATCGCTCATTGTGTAAATAAATCTTTCCTTTTGTCCATCCTGAATCTATTGCCCATCAGCTTCATTGGATGCCCTGGAGTTCCAGTATTTTGGGAGAGGGAGAAAAATTGCAGGATGCTGAACTGCAATTCTGGATTCCTCTTTTGGCCTTTTACGCGGAATGTCCAGAGCCCCGTTTCTAACCCTTTTTCGCCCTCCAAGGACTAAAGAACATTTGGTCGATTAACCATCTGCCTTTTAATCAGTTAAAGAAATCTATTACATTTGTATGTTCTCCAAACCTTCAACACAGATTTAGGGAGGGTTGGCGGTGGAAAGAAATGTAGGCGTTTGTAATTTAATAATACTTAACATTCATCGAGCCGAAGAAGATGAGGCAGATGTCCTGACCTTTTAAACTTGGTAGCACCCACAACGGGCCTTGTGTGGGACCCATGGCTCTCAGAGACGCAGGTGGACTGTAAGGTAAAAGGTAAAGGTTCCCTTGCTCGAAAGCCAGTCAAGTCCGACTCTAGGGTTGCGGTGCTCATCTCCGTTTCCAAGCCGAAGCGCCAGCGCTGTCCGAAGACGTTTCCGTGGTCATGGGGCCGGCATGACTAAACACCAAGGCGCACGGAACGCTGTCACCTTCCCACCAAAGTGGTACCTATTTATCTACTTGCAATTTCTTGCTTTCGAACTGCTAGGTTGGCAGGAGCTGGAACTAGAGACGGGAGCTCACTCCATCATGCGGCACACTCGGGTCTCGAACTGCTGAACTCCTGACCTTCCACAGCCTGCAGTTCAGCGTCTTAACCACCTGAGCCACCGCAGCTTCAGGTGGACTGTAAATACATGAATAAAATAGTGGGGGGGGGGGGGGGTTTTCCTGGTCACAAAGCGTCACCCTGCAGAGACTAATGGAAGGACGCAGACAGACAACCTGCCGGTGACGCATATGCTCCCCCCTACAGCTCCTCTTCACCTGTAAACATGTCCTGTAGCTTCTCAAATTAGCCCTGACCTGTAGTTAAGACTCTCTGATCTTTGCTTCTCATCTGTGGCATGCCTACACCATAACAGTATTGGGTTAAATGGGGGAGGAGGATCGTTTGACTTGGAAACACAGATGCTTCATGCAGTATTCCTGATTCTCCATGTTTCCCAGTTAAGGGGAGAATGCGGTTCAAACAAATGACAAAGATGATATGATTCCAGTGGTAACAAGAGAAAGAAATTTTACTTACAAAAATAGAAGCACAATCTTACATGACATATTCATGTAGGTGCATTTAACTTAATTGTGAACCGATTGAACTTCAAAAGAAGATTGACTTGCTACAGCTCCAAGCCCAGGTAAGAGAGAGAAGAAGAGAGCCAGTTTGGTGTAGTGGTTAAGTGCGTGGACTCTCATCTGGGAGAACCGAGTTTGATTCCCCCACTCCTCCTCCACTTGCACCTGGCGGATAACCTTGGGCAAGCCGTAGTTCTGATAAGAGCTGTTCTTGAAAAAAGAGCAGTTACTGTCAGAGCTCTCTCAGCCCCTCACAGGGTGTCTGTTGTGGGGAGGGGAAGGGAAAGGAGTTTGTAAGCCGCTCTGAGACACCTTTGGGTAGTGAAGGGCGGGGTAGAAATCCAATCTCCTCCTCCTCTTCTATATATAACTGATGAGAGGGTGGGACCAGGTGCCGAGTGTACACATAACTCTTTCCGGATCCTCTTGCGTTGCAGAGTTACAGTATCCAGCAAATGGCCCCTACCAATCAGTCGCTTAATCTGGACAGTTAAAGGTTGCTCCCAACACTCATAACCGATCAATTCACTCAAGCTTGGGAGCAGGTCTGCACATGTCCCAAACAAATCCTAAACCTGAACCAGCCCACCTTTGGTATTGTGTTGCAAAAGTCTACACTGGACTCTCCCACAGTGCTCAGAGTCAGTTAAATTAAACACCTTCCAAGTGGTTAAAGACGTCTCTCTTCCCCATTGATGGGGTACCAGTTTAGAAGAGAAGAAGAAATTGGATTTATACCCCTTGCCCTTCACTACCCGAAGGAGTCTCAGAGCGGCTTACAAACTCCTTTACAAACAGACACCCTGTGAGGTAGGCGGGGCTGAGAGAGCTCTGACAGAAACTGCTCCTGAGAGAAGAAGAGGAGATTGGATTTATACCCTGCCCTTCACTACCTGAAGGAGTCTCAAAGTGGCTTACAATCTCCTTTCCCTTCCCCTCCTGAGGTAGGTGGGGCTGAGAGAGCTCTTGACAGAAACGGCTGTTTTTCAAGAACAGCTCTTATCAGAGCTACGGCTTGCCCAAGGTCATCCAGCAGGTGCAAGCGGAGGAGTGGGGAATCAAACCCGGTTCTCCCAGATTAGAGTCCGCGCACTTAACCACTACACCAAACTGGTTCCTAGAAGAGGTATCCCCCTTCTCTCTATGTGATCCCCTCTCCAATCACAGAACAGGACACGGAGAAAGAGTTAGATGCAGCCCCCCCCCCCCCCCCCACAGAGGCCTCCCATGTACGGAGCCCGCGCACCAAAGCAGTCCAGCCTCCTCCGGCTCTTGCAAGCTGTCTGCAAGGTTCGCCATTCCTCGGGCACGAGCCCCAATAATATCCTTACAGCCTGAGCCAAAAAAACCACGTCCTTCAGAAGTATCTTCTTTCCTGCACATGCAGACTCATGCATATGCAAATTCAAGCCAATGTGTCATTCATGCAAATAATAGGCTTTAGGTTCTCTTTGAATGGGTGGCAGCTCTCTCTTTTACGGTGTTTTCTCGGATTACCTGGCAGGGCTTGTTGGGGCAGGTTTTAGGGTGATGCCAGGAAATGTCCCTGCATGGTGCAGCACATAGTCAGGATCTCATTTGTCTATCTATTTAATTACATTATTCGTCATTCACCTTTCTTACAGGGACTCGGGCGATTACACATAGGCAGTCAGTACGATTGCCAAAAAAAAATATATGGGACATTTCAATAACCAATGCATTAGGATTTTAGAAAATCTGGAACTACCAGAAAGAACTGCAGCACAGCCAAAAGATCCACATGACACATTAAGTGCAGTGTTTCCTCTAAGCTGAGTTAGTGTGAGCTAGCTCACAGTTTTTTAGCCTCCAGCTCACACGATTTTGTCGTAGCTTTCGAAGGATGGCTCCAGAGCAGACTAAATTATGCAGCAGCCAAATCACTGGCTCACAAGTTTAATGCCAGGAGCTCAGAAAGTAGAATTTTTGCTCGCATGACTCCACAGCTTAGAGGGACCATTGATAAAGTGGTACAGAAATTACATAAATATGATCCTGTTTACAATAATATACATGCTGCAGTCCCTAATCATTTACCAAGAAAGTTTGTAAAACCATTTTGCACAGTGCAAACCTGTTACCTGTGCAGGTAATTTTAACCGCGCTGCAACCTGTGCAAACCTTCCACAGGACCCCAAAGCTGAGAAGCATCGCCCTGGCAAACGCTTTGACTTCAGCCGCGTCATCTTTAAATTAGGTCTCAGGCAGCTCGGAGAGCTAAAACGTACAAGCCCGCTTCTGTGACGTGATTGCTGACATTTTATCGTTGGGTTCACTTTCCAGATTACGGCGACAAGCTGAACATGGAGCTGGGGGAAAAATACAAGCTGGACAAAGACGCCTACCCCGTATTTTACTTGTTCCAAGATGGGGACTTGGAGAATCCGCTGCCGTACGACGGCCAAGTCAAAGCCACCGACTTGCAACGCTGGCTGAAGAGCAAAGGCATCTACATGGGCATGCCGGGGTGCTTGAAGGAATTTGACGCCTTGGCGACAAAGTTCATGAGCACTGCGCAAGAGTCAGGGCGCAAGGCTCTTCTGGAGGAGGGCCAGAAACTTCTGGCCGCGGCCAGGGAGCCCGACCGGAAGTCGGCCGATCAGTACGTCAAGGTCATGACCAAAATCCTCGCCCAGGGCGACTCCTTCGCTTCCAACGAGTTGTCCCGGATCACCAAACTCATCGAGGAGACCAAGATGAGCGACGGGAAGAAAGAGGACCTCCAGAAACGCCTGAACATCCTTACGTCCTTCCAGACGAAGAAGGATGAGAAGGAAGAGCTTTGACGGGTCGGCACGCGAGCGAGGAGGTCAAAGCGGGTTGTGTTCCCATCCGGTGCTCCTTGAAACAAGCAAAACCATCCCACCGCCTTTTCCTCCAAGAGGCTGCAGAATTTGTCCTCTTAGAGAGATCCTGTCCTGCTGTGTTCTGTTGACAAAGGCGTCCCTCCGTTGGGGACTCCGGAGCTGCAAGAGTTCAGAACACCCTCCATTCCCACGGTACAGGGAACCATTCCTAGGAAAGTCAAGGGCATTTTTGGTGGGCAGGTGGGAAGGTCTGTTAATCCTTTGTTCAAAAAGGCAAGGGGGGTGGGGTGGGCGTCCTTCACCAGATTTTGTATTTATGGGTGCTATGTCCTTCCAAGGTCTGTTCTCAAGATAGCTGCCTTCAGGACTTTGACGCAGCCTGTTCTTGCTTGGTGGGTTTCAAGATGGCTGCCCGCAGAACTCTGGGTGGCTGGTTCTCATTGGCTGAATTTACAAGGTTATGCCCGCACCATCTGGCCTGCTTGACAGCTCTCTCCTCCCCCCCCCCCTTTCCCAGTCCTAGGCAAGCAATGGAGGGTCGGGTGGGCGGCAACTGAAACTGGGTCGCTGGCTTCGTGAGGCTGGCGGTCCTCAGAACGCCACTCGCACTCGGGGCTCTTGACAGAGGAGGGTGCAAGGTGACTGCCCTTGCCGCGTTGTGCGGCCTGTGGAGGAGGCGGGGGGGGGCAGTGAGAGTGGGGTTGATTTTGTGTATTTTGGGGAGCACAGCTTTGGACAGAGCAACATGTGCATTGGGGGTTGGTGAGGAGCCGGGTGTGTGTCTTTTACTGAACAGTATTTGCAAACGGGCTTGGGGACCAGTTACGACAACACTTGATTTGCTAATAAAGGTTTATCTGAAAACAACACTCTCTCAGGGTTTTCTGTGGCCGCTTTCAGGAAAACGGACGCCCTCGAACTTTTCTTGAGCTACTGAATGCAAAGACCTTGTTTACAGTCCAAAAGTTTGCTCTGTGGATGTGAGAACTGATTCCTGGTGTGCAGGTTGGCACTTTCGAGATTGCCAGGCTTTGTACAAAATAAAAACGGCAACTTCATGATACTCAGAAGAAGAAGAGAAGAGATTGGATTTATACCCCGCCCTTCACTACCGAAAGGTGTCTCAGAGCGGCTTACAAACTCCTTTCCCTTCCCCTCCCCACAACAGACACCCTGTGAGGCAGGTGGGGCTGAGAGAGCTCTGACAGGAACTGCTCTTTTTCAAGGACAGCTCTTATCAGAACTACGGCTTGCCCAAGGTCATCCAGCAGGTGCAAGTGGAGGAGTGGGGAATCAAACCCGGTTTTCCCAGATTAGAGTCCGTGCACTTAACCACCACACCAAACTGGCTCAGTGTGGAAAAGGATTGCCCAACCCCAGGTCTGCAATTCCTGTTTTGGGCCCTGTCCACAGTCGTCGGAGAGCTAAGCCTTCACTGCCCCAAAACTTTCTAGCCTCTGTCTTCAGAATCATAAGAACTAGAAACTTGAATGCTTTTTGTCTGGCTCGGCTCCTGCCCCGCTCAGAGGTCACAATCAGGGAGTCGACCTTGCAGATGCGTCCGAATAGGGATGTGTCCGTTTGCCCAATTAGACGGTTTCCTCACGTGAGTAAACTGCCTTGTTGCAGCTGCTTATCTCCCTCCACACGCACACAGAGACACAACTGTCGCCACCTCCGATTCATTGTTCTTTTTTTAAAACAAAATTCTGGTTGAGTTTTTATTTTTGAAGCCTCACTCCATAAAGAATGTGGACAGAATGGAGCGGGTGCGGAGGAGAGCGATGAGGATGATCAGGGGCCTGGAGACCAAGCCCTGCGAGGAAAGGCTGAGGGACTTCTTGGGAATGTTTAGTCTGGAGAAGAGGAAGGGGGGGTGGACATTTAAGTATTAGAAGGGCTGTCACTTGGAGGAGGGCAGGGAGCTACTCCTGTTGGCAACAGAGGAGAGGACTCGCAATTATCTATTTATTTATATTTACATTTATACCCTGCCCACCCTGTGAACAGGCTCTGAGTGGCTTGCAGGAGACGGCCGATACAAATAAAACAATAAAAATATTAAAATCCCTTTAAAAACAATCTTAACGATAAAGTGCTCGCTACAGCAGAGTAACCTTAAGACGAACGGCGTTGTATCTGCATTCCTTCTGTCTTCAGATCTTAAAATCAGTCCCACGGTCCAGATGTTCACCGGTGAGGCTCAGACTGGACCAGTCCGATATTCCGAATTGATGGTAACACTGGTGGCGGCTCCTATTTGAAAGCCTGGTGGAAGAGCTCCGTCTTGCAGGCCCTGCGGAACCGTGAGAGGTCCCGCAGGGCCCTGATCTCGTCCAGGAGCTTGTTCCACCGGTAAGGAGCCACCACCGAAAACGCCCTGGCCCTGGTATAAAGGAAGGGGTTTAAAGTAAGTAAGGAGTATAAAGTAAGTACGGGGTTTAAATTAAGGGAAGGATCTTAGGAAGAACCTTTTGACAGTCAGGGTTGTACAACAGTGGAATCAGCTGCTTGGGGAGGTGGTGAGCTCCCCCTTGCTGGAAGTCTTTAAGCAGCAGCTGGGCAAACACTTGTCAGGGATGCTCTAGGCTGATCCTACATTGAGCAGGGGGTTGGACTAGATGGCCTCTAGGGTTCCTTCCAACTCTGTGACGCTATGATGCTACTTGGGTGCCTTCGTGTGGCTTTGTGTTAGTCCATGAAACCTAACTAATCTTACAATTATTTCTCATTATATCTGCAGGATCAGGGCTATTTTTGGGCAGGAGCACACAGGAACGGAGTTCCAGCTGGCTTCAGAGTTGGCCACGCCCACTACAGCCAAAACCTCTGTGCGTGTGTGGCTACAGAGGGAAGGCCTGGAGAGCGACCACCACCCCCCGCGACTCCAAGGCGGGCAGGCAGGGGGGGGTTCTGCTTCCCCAGCCTGTCCAAAGGCCAGCTTGCCCGGGCTCCCCACAGCCATGGGGTGTGGCCTAATATGCTAATGCGTCTCTGCTGTTGGGTGTGGCCTATTATGCTAATGAGTTCCTGCTGGGCTTTTTCTGCAAAAAAAGCCCTGCGCAGGATAGTTGCCATTCATTGTATGGTCACAAAACAGCCCGTTTGTCCCATGTCAGTCGTTTAAAGGATGCCTCTGACCACACAGGTGGAAAGAGGGGACAAAAACTGTGAGTGAATTGCACTTGGCAAGTAACTCCCTTTAATGACCTTCCCACGACCTTGGGAGGATATGGACTTCTACTCTGGCATAGAGACGTGAAGGCCCGGGAAAAAACATTTTCCCCCCCCCCCCCTTTTTTCGCTGTAGACTTTTTTGGTTTTTTCTGAAAAATTGGAAAAAAGAAAAGAAAAAAAAATGATTATGGAACGTTTTATTTTAACATGATGAATAAAATATTTTAAGACAAGGTGTTCAGATATTTTCCAGATCATTTCTAAAAAATACGTGTGGTATTAGATTAATCTGATTTCTGTGCACTGAGGACAAGCAAGTCCTAGGTTACCAACTGAACTCTCCAATGCAAGAACGAGATGCATTTCTTCCTTTAGGAGGTGCTATTGTCACAAGAAAAGAAGAAGGTTTCAGTTTTGTTTTTGCACGTGGGTGGGTATACCGGCACTCAGCCTTCACTAGGCCTCAAAGCATTGGAAGAAAATACAGAGCAACAAAAAGGACCTGAAAGTATATAGTTAATTTTAAAAGGTAAAAAGTTTTCATTTATCTGATTCCAGAAAGCTGAATCATTTAGCTACATTAGTTTATCTTTATAACCTTTGGGTAAATAATAATTTAATTTCTACTAATCTGGTTCTTTACTTCCCCCCCCCACCCCCACCCACGATAATTGTTTGGATACACTGGCTGACAGCCAGTTTGGTGTAGTGGTTAAGTGCGTGGACTCTAATCTGGGAGAACCGGGTTTGATTCCCCACTCCTCCACTTGCACCTGGCTGGATGACCTTGGGCAAGCCATAGTTCCGATAAGAGCTGTTCTTGAAAAAAGAGCAGTTTCTGTCAGAGCTCTCTCAGCCCCACCTACCTCCCAGGGTGTCTGTTGTGGGGAGGGGAAGGAGTTTGTAAGCCGCTCTGAGACACCTTTGGATAGTGAAGGGCGGGGTATGAATCCAATTTCCTCTTCTACTATATTTTTAATATGCTAGTTGTGATAAGTTCATGCCAAGTAAAATTGTCCATAGTCATATTTTATGTTCCTAAAGTAACAGAAGGACTTTCAATCTGGAAAAAAAAAAATGAAGTGCTAATGTAGCATTTTTTTTCAATTTTTCCGAAAATTTCCATTTTCCCCCGGAAAAAAACTGGGTTTTTTCCCCAAGCTTTAAAATTTACGGAAATTTTATATCTCTACACTGGCATTTGAGAATATTTAGTTGGCGCATTGTGCTAGGCCAATGTGGCTGCAAGCTGCCACTTGCTCATTGCTTACCACACATGTAACTTGTGCTCTGTTGCACGAGCGTCTACTCTGCAGGTACAAAGATGCTTGGCATAGTATTTTTGACATTGAGGTATTCAGGTCAGGAGCCGGCGTCTAGTTAAAGCAAGGAACTGAGTCCAGGTAAGTCACAGGGCCATCATTCATTAATTCATTGAGGGGGGCGGTGGCACAGTGGGTATATCCCACTGCCTTAACATCCGAACTGTGTCAGTTCAAGCCCCGCACTGGTGTGAGCAGCCAGCCTGTTGTCCCCAGCTCATCGTCCACCCAGCAATTCGAAAGCTCCGGCGAGTAGATAAAATGGGAACCGCTCCTTAGCTAGGGCGGGCACGCCAATCTTCCTTCTGGGAGGGCGTTAGCTGACGGTCGAACGTCGATGGTCACGGCTTGTAAAGGCAAAACAGCTTGCCGGCTACAGAGAGAACTCCTGCAACGGACGTTCCGGCCAGGCGGTGGCAGTGTGGCGACAGACATACGGGTCCTGGAGCCTGAGCAGCAAGCAGCCGTGCCGGAAAACGACGAAGCCAGCCAAGAAGACGTTCTACACCGGGGCAGTATCGGCGTGTTTACATCCCCTACAAACATTGTTAGTCCCTTGTCTATATTTGAGTAACTGGGGAAAGCGATTAATAAATGGAAATTATTATTATTATTATTATCATCATCATCATCATATTATTATTATTATTATTATTATCTGCCCTCCCCAGTAGTTCTCAGCATACATGGTTAAAAGTCAGCTTCTCAGGTAGCTAAATACTCTGCTCAGGACCATTTTGTCTCTTTTTTTGCAAAGTTAGAGTCCAGTGGCACCTTTAAGACCAACCAAGTTTTGTTCAAGGTGTCATAAACAAAGTTTTTTGTATCCATTCTTCTAACTCTGGAATTCTTTCTTGTTTCCAACATTGTGCATAGAGTATTCTCGCCGTTGTAATCAGGTACCAAAATAAAGTTCTTTTTGTAATATTCAATTCTTCCATTTTAAGTCCTAAGAGCAGAATTTCTGGTGCTTTTTTAAA